AAAGAAAGAAACAGGCTCAAAGTGGTATTACTTGCCCAGAATAACCCAGCAAAATTACAAAGGAGCTAGAGCTATTGATTTTTCATTCTATTCCTTGTAGGCACACACCCATATCTTTGGGACTTTCGGTATAATCTCTTTTTCCTGAATACACCAGATATTATACAAGGCACTTGCAGAAGTTTCCAGGATTTCCAGTTATGATGGCTAAATTGAAATGTTACGACATCTGCCCTATTTTTCAGGCAATTTCTCAACATAAAAACCAATGCCAATTATTCAGCATTTAGCTAATTTAACTGAAGCATCTGAAGAGCAACTGTGATCTTGGAGCTTAATTAACTACATGAGTTGAAAAGGAGGAGAGACGTTTTCTATTTCAAGAACGTGTGACAGGATGGATCATGGAATTAGGGTTCTAGTCTTGGCCCTCCTACTAAGCTAGCTGTTTAACTTTAGCCAAATTTCTCTGAAGTACTGATTTAGCTACTCTCTTAGCTTTTCCTCAGTTCTGAAAATTTTTGACTCTACCTTTTAAAAATGTCTGTCTAGGTCATCATCATTAGATACATTCATGAAATACACTCAAGTGTATGCTGCTCAGCTGAGCACAAGATAAAAATAGAATGAGACAAGATATATGCCTACTGGGAATCTATCGTTATTATGACCATCATCATTAACATGGGAAGATGAGGGAAGGACATAGAATCCTACTGAGACCTGTCATTAAACTACAGACCAATGGACTATGCATTTAAGTCTTCCTCAAACTCATTTTCTGGGATACAAAGCTCCTTCCCCATTCTGGCAAAAGTTTTGATGAAAAAGTCTATTGCTAATATTGTTAATCTGGTACTAACATACTCGATAAAACAAAATAAGTTTGTATAACAAATATAATATCTGGTCCCTGCCCTAGTCATGTTGTACGTATAATTAAAAAAAAATACTATTAGTCTTATTTGCATGAACGGACAAGGAAGCACAAAACAGGCTCAGTTAAAATTGGGCTCTTTATAATTGTGTTGTCCACAAAGAGTAATAGTCCTCCAAATCTTTCACCTCTCTTGAACTTAAATGTTCCAAATATTTCAAAAATCCAATTATTTAATAAATAGTTCACAAGATTTTAGTTTACGTAGTGGTTCATGATGAATGAGACACTGTCCCTTTCTGCATGGAGCTTACACTCTAACTGGAGTACTAGATAAGCATTACATCACTAGACTACAAAGTAGCATAATAGAAAGGTTATTGAGATTCAAAGGAAGGGAAGTATATTCTGTTGGTGAAATCATGGACAGACATATCGAGAAGGTAGTATTTGAGGTGAGACTTGGAGTGTAAATAAGATTTTTATCTGTAGCGTTGAAGGGAATTTTTGGTAGCAGGATTATCATAAACAAAAACAGAACCAGAAAGAAGTATAGGTCACGTTTAGGGCACAGGAAGTAATTTAGGCTACCTGAAAAGTTGGGGGCAAGGAAGAAAGGAATGATATTGTATAAAATCTTCAATATGAGAATGAAGTGTTTGTACATAATATTATAAGTAATGGATTCTAGTAAAGGTTTATGGAAGAGAGGTATGAGATCACAAAATTAAAGAAATTTTTAATTCAAGATCCCTCTACCCCTATTTTAAAGACAAGAGAGTCAGAACGAGAAACCAGAGAGCTTGTCAGAGTCCTAATCTGAATTCTTTGCATCATACCAGCTGTTTTACAAGGTTACTCTGGTGGAGAACAGAGAGTTCAGGCAGGAGTTCAATGTGGTAGCTATTACAGAAGTCCAGGAGAGAAATTCAGGTGGAATAACAAAGACCTGAACCTCGGGGGCGGGGGGTTGTAGTAGAGGAGGGGCTGGGGCTAGGGGAGTCCATGAAGTCTCCTTTCTCTGTCCTCCATGGGGCTCAGAGCATTGTTCATTCACCTCAGAGAGGCAAGGAGAGAGTTCAGGCAGGAGTTCAATGTGGCAGCTATTACAGAAGTCCAGGAGAGAAATTCAGGTAGAATAACAAAGACCTGAACCTCGGGGGCGGGGGGTTGTAGTAGAGGAGGGGCTGGGGCTAGGGGAGTCCATGAAGTCTCCTTTCTCTGTCCTCCATGGGGCTCAGAGCATTGTTCATTCACCTCAGAGAGGCAAGGCATTGATTTCATTCACTGGCAGGTCCAGAAAGCATGGAGTCAAGTGGTCCATCCTCATTCAGACTATGAACTCTTAGACCTCCCAACTTCCCTTCAATATTGTGCATTCTCTAGAAAAACAAGGCCAGAAACCATGCCAGCAGTGACCAGAGGCAGCCCTAGAATTGTTCTTTCAAGGGACCAGTGGATGATCTTAGGATTCGGGCAACTCTGAAGGTTTTCTTTCTGGCTTTCCTAAAGAGCACCCAGGCATACCATGGCCTAAAGCCACTTTGCAAGTAAGGAACATGCCTATCTCTGGTTCACTAGCCTCATCTCAGGTCTCCTTCCTTTCCTTGTCCCTTGTCCTGACCTTCACTCATCTTCTCTGTGACTTCTTACTTGAACAGTTTCATCAACTTAGAGCTGGGATGTCATGCGTCTGAGTATGTCTGACAAAGGCATAGATGTGGCAAAACTTAACAGTAGGTGTGAATACTGAGTCTCCAGTTGCACAGAATTCTAAGTTGGCAGTCTACTTTTTCTCTTCTATATGATCTTTAGTTTATAACAGTTTATAAAGACAGAACCAAGAAAGAAATCATGAAGGTAGCTTCTATAATAAAGACAGAGTATCAACCCAACAGATTATTTTCTCACCAGAGGAATGATTATACATAGTAGGCACCAAATAAAGAAGGGGAGTGAATCAGTGACATCTTTTGATCCATGTCTTTTTCAGTTCTTCTTTCTCTCAACAGACCATATGGGCCAAAGTCACCTTTCATTTTCTTCTATAAACTGTGCCCTAATGGTGCTGGTATAGAGTAGGTGCTCAAAAACTCTTAGCTTTGTTTCCCTTTCCCAGGCCCTTTTTACAGGGCTGGAGCACATCGACATCTCATGTTCTATGAAGAGGACCTAACTGGGCTTCTACACAGAGAATATCCTTACGATTCCGTCCACAGTGATAGAAGGCAGTATAGCATGGTGGTTTAGTGAGCAATCTCTGGAGGCAACTTATATTTGAATCTCATCTCTGCTAATCACGAGTTTTATCTACCTCTTTACACCTTGATTTCTTCATCTGTAAGACAGGGATAATAATAGTGGGTAGCCAATAGGTTTGGCATGAAGAATAAGTGAGTTAACAAGATAGTACGTATAAAGTGCTCAGCATGATAAGAAATGTTTTTAATAAGGCAGTTTTGATGTTTGAGTCTACTGAATATCTGGTGATTGGTAGCTTAGGGGTAGAGGCCAGCAAAAATAACAAAGGTGCCATCTAGATATGCCAGCTGTGCACCCAAGTAGTATTGCAATACTTGGTCAGTATCTTAAAGAGCTCAGAAAACAGTGGCTCTTCACCTGCTCTACCTGAGCAACAGTTCCAGATAGTCCACTTCCTTTAGTCCTCTAACCTGGGTGATTGTCAGCCTGAGGCTGGCCTATATGGCATACGCCTAGTCAGTTTGTAAGGTTTCAAAAAAAAAATAAAAAGAAAAAAAGGAAGAAAAAAGTAAAAGAAAAGAAAAAAGAAGGGA